GTTTTTTTATTACGAGGGTATCTGTAAAGTGAGTTTCTCTTTCACTATGTATAATGATAACCCTGTCGTAAGAGTGATTATTCATATCATGAAAAATTTGTAGGTATGAAATAGGCACATTTTGTTGAGCCACATAAAAATTATTGTTTTCTTTCTTTTTTCTGTTGCTTTTACTTTGGTCTGTTGAGAGATTTCAAAACAATGCTGTGCTTGGGGTATCCATTTATATTCACTAACCATACACTTAGAATATTGAAAAAATAACCCAAAAGAAAAGATATGTTTAAAAGGAAATTAAGCTGGACTAGAATCTACTGGACTACAATACATTTCCTATATATTTCTTAACATATAAACTACTTAATATGTCCCAAATAAGCGTAAGAGACAATTGTACATCCCATTCTCTTAAGAAAATTTACCGGAGCTTATTGGTATTTTTGCTGAGTCCCTTTTGAAATTTCTGTCTTGTATGGCTCTTGTACATGGATGGCACCTTCTTGGAGCCTCTTTTGTAATATTCTTCTTTTGTACTATTTCTTGTATAATAATTCTTCCATTCTAGTGACTTTATGTTGTGCATCTGAAGGTGTAATAATACTTTGAACTTTCTTCTTGCAGATCGATATGGGTCCAGGACTTGCCATTGATTTTAATGTTAAGGATATCCTTATTATGTTTTGTTTGTGCTACTTTCTTTTTGCCAATAAATTAAAAAAAAAAATGCTTTTCTGGATTTTATTCATGCTAATTTTCTTCTGATTACATTATTTAAAAAAAAAAAAATCTGATTATAATTTAGCCTGTGGTATCAGATCTAATTTGAATAAATGAAAATTCATTTGCTACTGAATCTTTTTGTTTTGGTTGAACCAAAGGCAAGCTAATGTTTTGCCAAGTGCTAAATTTGAGCCTCCCCTTTGGTAGGCTAGAAAATGACCAAATGAGCGAAAGGGCAGTGGTCACTTGTCATTGGATCTTATTTGTAGTATTAGTTTGCTAGACCATTGCAATGTCCACCTTAACCTTTAACTTTGTTCTCATCGTTGTATGATCTATTGTTTAAGTATGACTGCATTTAGATTGTGATTCCAGAATTAATAGCCTTCTCTATTTCCTGCTCCTCAATACCAAAAACACCATTTCACTACTTAAGATCATTTTTAACTGTACAGTTGTTTGTATGAGTTTCTGCGTTATGTTTGATGCTTAGAGATTTAGAGATAAAGACCTAAATATTACCTAGAGTTTCTTGGATATCATATTTAAGGAGTCTTAAACATCATATTTAAGTGTTTGATTGCATCATACAATAAGAAAATTAAGAAACCGTTGAAATATTTCAAAAACAAATGACTAAAGTTTTTCACAATAGTGAATTTACAAAGATATATATAATATTTCCTTAATAGGATTACTATTAATGTTAAGGATTAGGAAATAATATTACTAATACAAATAGAAAAATAAAATACTATACTAAAACTATCATATAGACTCCTAAATAATATAGTAGTTATATATTTAAAAGTATGAAGAATGAAAGTGTTTATGTTATTGAACATAGAAACCTATGCATACAGGTTTATATGAGCAAGAAAAGGAAATACTCTTAATTATAATGAGAGGGGTATATTACTAATATATTATTTGCCTTTAATATACACTTACAGTTACCAACAATCTTCCTCAAGCTGGTGAATGGATATTATCCATTCTCAGGTTGACGATAATAGTTTGAAACCCAAGATTACTCTACCTTTTAGTCAATACATCTACTATCTACAAGCAGCGGGCATGTAAATTGTGCATATCAATCCACTATCCAATTTCTCTCGATGAAGTATCGGTCAACTTCAACGTGTTTGGTACTATCATGTTATACTAGATTGTAAGTAATACTAAGGACTAACTTATTGTCATATTAGAATCTTCTAGGATCATCTCAACCATGGAAATTCACATGTTTCTTGAGTCATGGCCCTGAATGCTGATTCTGCACTAGAATGGGTTGCCACTGCCTCTTTTAAACATGATTTTCTTTCCCATTTTAAGTAGTGGAGCATTGTGTAGACAGCTTGTAGGTGCACCTTTTTGGGCTTGTGCATGGACTGATTCGCTAGGCTTACTGCATAGGCAAAATCTGGCAGAGTATACAACAAGTGCATCAATTTTTCAGCCAATCTCTACTATATTTCCTTGATACATCTGTGTTTCTCTGCTA